TATATAGATTGATTGATTGATTTCAGAGAGGAAGGGAGAGGGAGAGTGAGATGGAAACATCAGTGATGAGAGAGAATCATGGATGGGCTGCCTCCTGCACGCCCCACATTGGGGATCGAGCCGGCAACCTGGGCCTGTGCCCTGACCGGGAATCGAACCCTGACCTCCTGGTTCATAGGTCGGCGCTCAACCACTGGGCCACGCCAGGGGCCCAGCATTGAAAAGGGATAAAGTTCATCTTCATCACAGGGGTCGCTAGATCTCGAAAGGGTGATGTGGAGAAAAGCGAGTTCCAGAAGGCGTGGCAATAGCTCGATATCATCACGGGGGCAGTGACAGGACAGACCTGGCCTCATCCAGCGTCCATCCTGGAAGGAAGAAACAGCAGACAGGCGTGGCGAGGACGGGGAACGTATGAGACAGTGATGATCGCTGTGGTGAACAACGCAGCAGGTGAGGACGATGCGAGGACGCGGGAGGTCAGAGGAAGGGGTGACAGGGCGGTGGGGTGACCCGCAGGCCTTCCCTAAGACCTGCTGGAGGGGAGGGGAGGGGCCCCACAGAGAGCTGAGGGGCGAGGACCCCAGGGAGAAGGCCTGGCCAGTGCACAGGCCCTGAGCCGGGAGGGACAGCAAGGAGGCCTGTGGCTGGAGAGGGCGGCTCAGAGGGGGTGGGCGGGGCTCACGTTTTGACTGTCCGTCTGTATAAACAAGGGTGTTGGGAGGAGTGCGAGGGGCCCTTGTACGAAGAACAACGGTTGCTTCTCTTCCGCAAGAGGAACGTGAGAGGCAGACGGCGGGCCGTCGGGTGGGACAGGCTTTCTGTGAAAGAGACGTTCATTCTGCATCCGTGTCACCGCAGGAGAGTCTGGTCTAAGGAGAGAGGATGGAAAAGGTCCTAAGGACACAGAAGCCTGTAACGGGGCATCACAGGACGTCCCAGAGGCTGAGACAGGCCTGGGGCACTCTATCTATCTATCCATCTATCCATCTATCCATCTATGTCTAGATATCTGCATAGTTATATATAGATTTGGATCTAGTATCTATATCAGTGATGGCGAACCTATGACACGCGTGTCAGAGGTGACACGCAAACTCATTTTTTTGGTTGATTTTTCTTTGTTAAATGGCATTTAAATATATAAAATAAATATCAAAAATATAAATCTTTGTTTTACTATGGTTGCAAATATCAAGAAATTTCTATATGTGACACGGCACCAGAGTTAAGTTAGGGTTTTTCAAAATGCTGACACGCCGAGCTCAAAAGGTTCGCCATCACTGATCTATATCATACGTAGCATAGTATCTATATAGTATCTATATCTCTGTACTATTTATCTATACACAGATAGATATAGATATTTATATATGGATATCTAGCTACACACATAATTTTGAAAGTATATATGTGAAAAATTTTAGTATACAGTATATATTTTCTACTATATATTTAAACACACACACACACACACATATATATATATATAAATTTCAGTATATATATATTTTTCAGGGATTCAAAATTGAGGTACATTTTAAATGCCTGCTCTTAAATGAACCTACTCTTGTAAGACACAGCCGTCGCCAGCGCAACCTCACCGTGCTATTTATAGGGTAATTGCAGGGTGTGCTGATTTCCCGGGGCCGCCGTCACAAATACCACGAAGCAGGTGCCCTCACATAACAGACATGCGTTCTTCCCCCGTCCCGTCCCGGGTCCCCCAGTCGGGGTGTCTGCAAGGCCGGGCCCTCCCGGGAGGCTCTGGGGAGACTGGCCCAGGCTTGTCTCTGAGCTCCTGGCACGGCGGGGGGGGGGGGGGCGCCCCGACGTACTCCTCTGACATCCCCCCCCCCGAGTCTTCACGTGGTCATCCCTCGGTGTGTCCGTATCCTAACCTCCTCCTCCTCCTCGAAGGGCACCTGACCCTCATAGTCGGCTTTAAAAAACAAGCACACATATTTTTATTGATTTCGGAGAGGGCGAAGAGGGAGAGAGAGATAGAAGCATTCATGATGAGAGAGAATCATGGGTCGGCTGCCTCCTGCACGCCCCGCACTGGGGATGGAGCCTGCGACCCAGGCCTGTGCCCTGACGGGAATCCAACCCTGACCTCAGGTTCAGAGGTCGATGCTCAACCACGGAGCCACGCCAGCCGGGCAGATGGCAGCAGTTCAAGTCCTTTTTTTCCTGGATGACGAGGGTGCCGAAACGGAAGTCACCAGTCCTCGGTGAGAAGGATCCCATCCTGTTTCCACTCACGTGCGTGAAGACGTTCAATAGTTCTCTGAAAGACAGGCCACGGGCATGTGTCGTGGGCAGGATAGTGGCCATTTCCAAAGACGGCCACGGGAACGCTGGTTCTGTTCCCTTCCTTGGCGAGTGGACTTTGGAGATGTGACCAGTGACACGGACCTCGAGGTGCAGAGAATGTCCAGGGGAACTGGTCGGATCACCGGAGGCCTTCGAAGCAGAGACCTGGGTGTGGTCCGAGTGGAAGATGTTCCACGGAGGGAGAGAGTCAGCGCTCGGCGGTTCCTCTGGCTTCGAAGGGGGAGGAAGGGGCCATGAGCCACGGTACGTGGGCGCCTCCAGGAGCCGTGAGAGGGAAGGAACCGGATTCTCTCCTAAAGCCCCAGGAAGGACTGATGTTAGCCACTGAGACACGGGCCCCAGGACCGCAAGATAATAAGTTTGTGTTGTTTTAAGGCACCAAGTTTGCAGTGATTTGCGACAACAGCTACAGGAGACTAATAAACACAATATGCGATCTCATAAAGCTATCTCCAGATCATGTGTCCGGCCCCATCTTTAAAAGGGGTAGCCTAGCCCTAGCAGTTTGGGCTCAGTGGGTAGAACATCGGCCTGCGGACTGAAGGATCTGGGTTCGATCCCAGTCAAGGGCATGTACCTCGGTTGCAGGCTCCTCCCCAGCCCAGGTCCTGGTTGGGGCTCGGGCAGGAGGCAACCAATCGATGTGTTTCTCTCACATTGGTGTTTCTCTCTATCTCTCCCCCTCCCTCCCACTCTCCCTAAAAATCCTTGGGTGAGGACTAAAAAAAAAAAAATAATAATAAATAAAAGGGGCAGCCTATTTCTTAACTTTGCATAATGATAAGTTAAACAAGGCTACTGCATCTCCAAAGACCGTAGAGGCTTCTTCCCATTTAAATTTACCTTCTGGGTGCAGAATCAGGAGAAAAGGTGAATTCTAACCAGGTCTTCAACTTACGATCAAACACTCCTGTGGTCAACGGACAACCGCTGTCAGTTCTTCAGGGGTCTGAATTGAAACGGACTCTTAAAATTCCCCTACTATTACTTTACGTGCAAGAAAAATAAACGACGCCCAGCCTGTGTGGCCCCGTGGTTGAGCGTCGACCTAAGAACCGGGAGGTCACGGTTTGATCCCCGGTCAGGGCACGATCCCCAGTGTGGGGCGTGCAGAAGGCAGCCGATCAGTGATTTTCTCTCATCATTGATGTTTCTTTTTTGTTGTTGTTCATCCTCACCCGAGGATATTATCCCATGATTTTTAGAGAGAGTGGAAGGGAGGGGGAGAGACAGAGAGAGACATCGATGTGATAGAGACACACCCATGGGTTGCCTCCCGCACGAGCCCCGACCGGGGCCAGGGGTCGAGCCTGCAATGGAGGTAAGTGCCCTGGACCAGAATCGAACCCAGGACCCTTCAGTCCGAGGGCCGACGCTCTATCCATGGAGCCAAACAGGCTAGGGCTCATCTCTGATATTTCTCTCTCTCCCTCTCCCTTCCTCTCTGAACTCAATGAAAATATATTTTAAAAAATTAATAAAATAAGTGAGAACCACAGAATTTTAAAATAGGCTGGCATCTTAAGAGGCTCCCATCCCAGCGGTGGGTGGCGGCCGCAGGCCTCCTCGCAGGGGTCAGGGGAGGCTGTGGGAGCATTTGTGTACACAGGCGGGCACTTGTAAACCGAAGCCAGTCATGTGCCCGAGAGAGGGCACTCCTGGGGAGGAAGAAGGTGGCGTTCACCACGGGCAACCTCGTCCATTCAGCACCTTCCTGAAAGGTGTCAATGTGCCGGACAGAAACCCCTGGGGTCCCTCCTTACCGGTGGGGGACCCGTGTTGCTTTAAGGCACCGACTTTGTGCTGATTTGTTTCAACAGCCATAGGAGACTATGCGACAACATGCGACCTCATGAAGCTGTTTCCAGATCATGCATCTGGCTCCATCTTCAATGTTTGTACGTTTCATGCTGTTTTTCCCCCATACCTATATTTACCTATGATGCAGCATAATTTATAAATTAGGCCAGTGAGAGATTAACAACGAGTAATAAAGTAGAAAATTATAATAAGAGACGTGACTGTGGTCCCTCGCTCCCTAAATGTGTAATCGTGCTAGCCTCACCTTTTCACCTAAACCAGTGGTCGGCAAACTGCGGCTCGAGAGCCACATGCGGCTCTTTGGCCCCTTGAGTGCGGCTCTTCCTAAGCCTTAGGAGTACCCTAATTAAGTTAATAACAATGTACCTACCTATATAGTTTAAGTTTAAAAAATTTGGCTCTCAAAAGAGATTTCAATCGTCCTACTGTTGATATTTGGCTCTGCTGACTAATGAGTTTGCCGGCCACTGACCTAAACGAAGCCCTTTAAGGCTTCTCTCTGGCACATCCGAGCTGCCAGCGTCACAGATCGAAGATGGGCGCGCTGCCTGCTCCCCGCGCGGGCCGTTTTCGGTTCTATTCCTTCACTGCCCGGCCCTCAAGCCTTGTGGGCATTGCTCGACCTCTTCTCCTTTTCGGATCCTAAAGACCAGGCCTGCTCAGGGTGCGTGCACGCGAAGCGGCACCCAGCTCATTCCCATCGCCTCGCTACCTCTGCCATCAACGTGGTCACTATTTTCTAAAAAGAAAACGAGTGGGAAAGCACCAACACGGAGGCAAATCCAGAAGGGACGAAGGGCACTTCCCAGCTGGAGATCAGAGTGAGCACAGCTCGAGGGCTCCGCCCCAGCCCCGT